TTCAAGCAATTCTCCTGCCTCAGCCTCCCGAGTAGCAGGGATTACAGGCATGCGCCACCACGCGCGGCTACTTTTGTATTTTTAGTAGAGACAGGGTTTCACCATGTTGGCCAGGCTGGTCTTGAACTCTTGACCTCAGGTGATCTGCCCACTTTGGTCTCCCAAACTGCTGGGATTGCAGGCATGAGCCACCCCACCCAGCTGACTTTTGTCTTTAAAGTGACATGTCAATTCAAATTTTTCTCAGCCAAACAGTATTCATTTGATGTTGTATATTGGAAGTTTTTCAAATTGCAATACTAGGCCTTTTTATTGTAAAGTGGGATATATTTTTTCAAACATAAAGATGGATCTTGGACCGGGTGCGGTGGCTCATGCCTGTAATCCCAGTACTTTGTGAGGCTGAGGTGGGCGGATCATGAGGTCCAGAGATCGAGACCATCCTGGCTAACACGGTGAAACCTTGTCTCTACTAAAAATACAAAAAAAATTAGCCAGGCGTGGTGGCAGGTGCCTGTAGTCCCAGCTACTCGGGAGGCTGAGGCAGGAGAATGGCGTGAACCTGGGAGGTGGAGCTTGCAGTGAGCTGAGATCACGCCACTGCACTCCAGCCTGGCGACAGAGCGAGACTTCGTCTTAAAAAAAAAAAAAAAAAGTTTTTGTAACAGTCAACAGTTCAGTCCGGAGTTGTAAATTTAGTTTAAAAAGTAAGGTTTTTTGTTTGTGTTTTGGGGTAAGGTCTCACTCTGCCACCCAGGCTGGAATGCACAACCCTAGCTCACTGCAACCTTGGACACCCAGGCTCAAGAGATCCTCCCACCTCAGCCTCCTGAGCAGCTTGGATTACAGGCGTGAGCTGTCACGGCCAGCTAATGTTAAAATAATTTATTTGTAGAGACAGCGTTGCCCAGGCTGGTCTCAAACTCCTGGCCTCAAGCAATCCTCCTGCCTAGGCCTCCCAAAGTGGTGGAATTACAAGCATGAGTCATTGTGCCTGGTTTAAAAAATAAGGTTTTTTTTTGGCCGGGTGCGGTGGCTCACGCCTGTAATCCCAGCACTTTGGGAGGCCGAGATGGGCGGATCATGAGGTCAGGAGATCGAGACCATCCTGGCTAACACGGTGAAACCCCGTCTCTACTAAAAATACATTTAAAAAAATGAGCCGGGCGTGGTGGTGCGCGCCTGTAGTCCCAGCTACACGGGAGGCTGAAGCAGGAGAATGGTGTGAACCCGGGAAGCGGAACTTGCAGTGAGTGGAGATCATGCCACTGCACTCCAGCCTGGGCGACAGAGCGAGACTCCGTCTCAAAAAAAAAAAAAAGAAAAAAAAAAAAAGTTTTTCTTCCTAATTAAATGAGGGTTTTCTGACATTTTCCCTCTAGACTTAGGTGTTCATTAACTCTGGTCTATATTAAATTATTCTTTAAGAGGAAAACAAGTGAAAAAGCTGAGTCTTTCTTTATAGTAAGAGACATCAGGGGATACGGTTCTTGTGAAGAGTGGCGATGAGATGGCCACTGTCTGACAGAACCGCCTGCAAGTTTGCAGAGTCGTTATCTTCATTTCCTGGGGTTGCACAGTGCCAGCTTCTCAAACAGGTATTATAGTACTAACAAAGGCTTCTATCACATGGCTTTTTTTTTTCCTTAAGTATCTTAAAAAACTTTTTATTGGGAAAAGTTAAAATGTATGGAGAGCGAATTCTGTAATGGTCTTCTAGATGTCCATCCCCCACCCTCTACACATCACCAATCTCATCCCATCTTGAGACTTCGTCCCCCAATCTGTTTTGACTGGCTAGTATTTGCTGGTGTTATCTTAAAGTACATCCTAGGTATCACTTCACACCTACATAATTGTGCCTGCATTTCTTTTTTCTTTTGGAGACGGAGTCTCACTCTGTCACCCAGGCTGGAGTGCAGTAGCATGATCTCAGCTTCCTGCAACCTCTACCTCCTGGGTTCAAGCGATTCTCATGCCTCAGCCTCCCAAGTAGCTGGGATTACAGGTGCGTGCCACCACGTCTGGCAAGTTTTTGTATTTTTAGTCGAGACAGGGTTTCCCCATGTTGGCCAGGCTGGTCTTGAACCCCTGACCTCAGGAGATCCACCACGCCCGGCCTCCACCTCCATTTCTAAAACCAAAGGCATTTTCTTTAATAACTACAATACCACTATTGTGGTGATGATCACCGAATAAGATTAACAATTCAACATCACTTAACACCCAGTCCATGTTCAAATTTCCCTGTATGCACCAGAAATGCCTTATGGTGGCTGGTTTGTCTGAGGGTGGAAGCAGGGTCCAAGCTCAGAGCTGGCTGTTGAGCAGGTGCTGGGCTTGCTTGAAGGCCTGTGTGAAACAAGGCCTGATGCTGGCATCCATCAGACAGTTCCTAACAGCATAGACGTCCAGGATTGTGTCTATCAAGCACTGGCACTGTGTGTTTGCAGGTCTGTTCTCCAGACTCTGCATTCAAGGAGTGAAGGGAATGTGTACTAACCACCACTGCATCCCCAATGGTAACGCACGCCCAGCACAGGCGAAGGAGCTCTCTGAAGCCATGCTGCAGTCCAAGTCTCGATTCTGAAGCGGGTCAGATTTTGAATCCTGGCCTACCAGTTAACCAGTTGGTTTGTTAGCCAGGTAGTTATCCTCTAGTACAAACTACTTATCCTGTCTGGGCCTCCATTTCTTCAGCTGTGAAATGGGATGATAGTATGGGCTCACAGATTATTGTGCAGATGAAAATGAAGCAGACTATGGCCTGACACCCTGGAACTCAGGATCTGTTAGCTCTATAGAGACACAACTCCCTTGAGGGTGGCAGGAAGCACATCCTCCAAAGCCTCTGGTTGGGGTACGTGTACCCCTGCGATACAGTGACAATCAACAAGAAACACCGTGCCTTCTCCCAGAGGCTCATTTGAGGCTAACTTAGAGCACATTGTTTAAAATGACACCTACAGCTGCCTGGGAGCCACTCTCTCTCCTCCCAGCCTTTGGGGTTACTCTGTAGTGCACTTGGAAAAGCACTGCATTAAGTCAGAGCAGCATGAATGCATAGGCTCTGGGACAAAAAGCCTCTGGGATTCCTTCCTGAACTGGCCCTGTCCACTCCTGTGGCTCTCTGTGCATACCTCTTACCCATTGGTACTGCCCTCCAAATGCTCCTTTAAACAGTCCTCCTGGCCGGGTGCTCCTCGCCCAGGGGGAAGCCCAGGTGACATCCTCTGGCTCCACCTACAGGCTGCCTTTGGGACAAGACCTGGTTGTTTCCAAAACTGTGAGGAATTCAGTGTGTGAGTTCTGGGATAGCAAATACAATTTTTTCTTTTCTTTTTGAGACAGGGTCTCACTCTGTTGCCCATGCTGGAATGCGGTGGTGTGATCTCGGCTCACTGCAGTCTTGACCTCCTAAGTTCAAACAATCCTCAAGCATCAGCCTCCCCAGTAGCTGGGATTATAGGTGCACACCACTACGCCTGGCTAATTTTTGTATTTTTTGTAGAGATGGGGTTTTGCCATGTTGCCCAGGCTGATCTCGAACTCCTGGGTTCAAGCGATCTGCCCGCCTCAGCCTCCCAAAGTGCAGGCGTGAGCCACTGCGCCCAACCTACCCTGGTAATTTGCTGAAGGAAGCCTTAAGTAGTAAAGGGAGAAGAGGAATGGCCCAGCCCTTGTGGGGAAGCCCTCCTGGGTCAGACACACCAACCTCTGCTTCCAGCGGGGTGAGGGTGGGCAGCTCTCACCCGTCCTCACCTCCCTTTGGATGCGAGTTCAGGTTCTGGGGGTTCAAGTCCCAGCCCCAGTGCTTGCTAATTGTGACTTCTGTAGCGTGTTACTGCCTCCCAGCCTGTTTCCTGTTCTGATAGTCAGGGCCTGTACTGACGCCTCGCTAGGTTCTAAGGTGGACTAAATGTACTAAGATGCGTGACACAGGGCTGAAGCCTGGTGCCAATGCAGTGGAATGTGAAGGCTGTGGTAGGGCAGGCCTGTGTTCTTTGTATCATTAGAAATTTTCCAACTGGGGTCCTGGCATCTGCACATCCTGGATGCTTGTTAGACATACAAGTCCTTGGGCTCCTTCCTACAGTAGTGCAATCAGAAACACTGGGGCCCAGCTTGCTGTGTTACGGCCTTCCAGGTGATTCTAACGCATTCTCAAGCCTGAGCAGCTGGGCAGATGGATAATTTTAAAGGTAGGGCCTTTCTGCACCACAGCAGATTCATCTTCTGGAGGCAGAAGAGAACACAGGAAAAATGCGATTCCTGTGTCAGAACCAAACCCTCTGAATCTCACACGACCTGACGCAGACTTCCACTGATGCTGTGTAATGCTTTCCTGCAACCTTCTCACACAGCCCAACAACCCTGAGGCTGCTGGAGGAAGACATGACAGGTTTTAACCAAAAGAAACTGAGGCTCAGAGATCTCAGTCATCTGTTGGACATCTACCACGGGCCAGAGCTAATGAGGCTAAATGCCAGAGACACATGAAAAACAGGATGGTCTCGAGAGGTCAGGACACCCAGGGTGCAGCCACCACCCCCATTCCACAGCTGCTCTCCTACCCACCTGTAGAGTACCAGATTTCAAACTGGACTCACTTTTACCCCAAACTGGACTCACTTTTACCCCATGCTTGCTGCTTTAGAATCTTTTTAGCACACAATTTAGGGATCTTGGTAATTGTCTCAGATGGAGATAACTATTATGCAGTAGGCATTTGATACTAGCCTAACTAGAATCAATTGGCTTTATTTTTTTTTTCAATTGGCTTATTATGTACTTTGCCTTGTGATTATTTCCTGATTCAATTTTCTCCTACAGCTTATAATTTCAACTACTATGTCACTGAATGCTACCTTATTTCTAAAGGATTTCATAGTTTAAATCTTTCTCTTATTTATCCTCATAATAACTGTAAGTTAGAACTTACATAATTAACATCTCCATTTTCCAAATAAGAAAACAGAGGCTCAGAGAGGTCACAATGTAAGTATCAGGATCAAGTTTAATAAACATTTATTAAGCAGTAGAATCCAAGTGAGTGCCTGGATCCTGATCACCAACTCCTGTGACAACTAAGATAATTATTTCACAATGATGGGTGGCTCAGTGAGATTCTGATTGCATCTGCTGCATGACAAATGATCTATTCAGAGTACGTCCGACACACTGGAGGAGGCCGAGGGGGTAACACATTGAAAGCAGGACCAGGTAGCAGTGCATCTCAGAGATCCATTTATTCATGCCATGAAGTAAATGGTACTTATACAAGTGTACAGGGACGTTCCACGCTCCCCATCTAATACGGCTTGCTTAAATTTACAGGTGGACTGATGTTTTCTTTCACAGGTACTCCAAGTAAATCTGGTTAGTGATGACCAGGAGCAGGCGCCGAAGCTTTTGAAAGAGATGCATGTATAAATACAATTTAAGAAGGAACAAGTTGGATGTAATTTATTAAACAAGTATCAAAAAAAGTTGATCAACAGTCCAAAAATATAAACGACACCTTTCAATACTATTGAAAAGTAGGATTATTTCTATATGAAACACCCAGAGTACTTAAGGGCCCACATAATGACAACAGACAGCAGTGGTCACCCACAGCTCAAAGAAGAGAGGGGCAGGGAAACACCTCTTCCTCAAACTCATGTAGCCAGTCCTGGGTTTGTGTAACATTCAAATGGCTACAGTTTCATTGTCACTTGGGCCTAAATTTATAAGGCGCTTTCTTTCAAAATACATTAAAGGCTGGGTGCGGTGGCTCACGCCTGTAATCCCAGCACTTTGGGAGGCCAAGGCGGGTGGATCACCTGAGGTCAGGAGTTCGAAACCAGCCTGGCCAACACGGTGAAACTCCATCTCTACTAAAAATACAAGAAATTAGCCTGGTGTTGTGGCTGTAATCCCACCTGTAATCCCAACTACTTGGGAGGCTGAGGCAGGAGAATTGAATCTGGAAGGAGGATGTAGTGAGCCAAGATTGTGCCACTGTACTCCAGCCTGGGCAACAGAGCGAGACTCTGTCTCAAAAAACAAAAACAAAAAACAAAACCAAACCATTAAAAACACATCATTAGGGGGAGGCTGAGGTGGGTGGATCACAAGGTCAGGAGATCGAGACCATCCTGGCTACATGAAACCCCGACTCTACACAAAAAATTAGCCAGGAGTGGCGGCGGATGCCTGTAGTCTCAGCTACTCAGGAGGCTGAGGCAGGAGAATGGTGAGAACCCAGGAGGCGGAGCTTGCAGTGAGCCAAGATCGCGCCACTGCACTCCAGCCTGGGCAACAAAGCGAGACTCCCGTCTCAAAAAACAAAACAAAACAAAACAAAACAAAAAACAACAAAAACAAACCAAAACCATTCAAACCACATCATTAGGGAACTTTTAGGACAGCATGCTCACACAGCTCACTTGCGCTTCCCTATTGGTGATGCTATCAACTACCTCTAATTCATCCATTCCTCTATTACTCCTGGGAAGTTTTACTTGATCCACTTGACTATAAAAAGCAGAAATTCAGAATTCTGTTTTCCAGCAGGCACAGCAAACTTCAAGCTGTGAAGCATTTCAACTGCATCTTACATATGTACCGAACCATGTATCAATTTCAATTCAGAACAATGATATGCCTTGTCCCAAAAAGACATGATGGTGTTTTCCATTCCCAACCATTTTCAGAAGCAAAAATCTTACCTTTCAAAGCCTTACTTCTTTTATCTAAAATAAAAGAAAGGAAAAAAAAATCAGTCATATCAATGCTTTATAAAAATGCCTTTGTCAAAATTAACATTTAGCTGAAGGCATTGTAGCTTAGGTAAAGCAATTCAGGAAGCGTTCAAAAAATATGTCTTATAGCCATGAAATGGTAAAATTCCTATCAAATATGTTCTATGAACAGCTAACAGCCCTTTCAAATTTGCAGGGCTCCTTACCCTCTACAACATCCTAAACTCTAGTCTCGCAGCATAAAGTTTTCTCCTTCCTCTTTGTAATCAACGGCTTAGTAACATGTGATTGGGCCACACTGCTCTGCTCTACTGAGAACCAAGTGGTTATTCTTCTCCTCTAAATTTCATTACAAACAAATTTCAAATATTCAGAACAGTTGAAAAGGTGCAATGAAATACCACATACCATGAAACCATATTTTAAATATTTTAGACTTCATCTCTTAAAACGAATGTAATACCACTCTCACACCTAAGAAAACTCACAATTCTGATATTAAAGTCTTGTTCAAAGTTCCCCAATTGGGCCAGGTGTTGTGGCTCATGCTTGTAATTCCAGCACTCTGTGAAGCCACGACTGGAGGACTGTTTGAGCCCAGCAGTTTGAGACCAGCCTGGGCAACATGGCAAAACCCCATCTCTCCAAAAAAAAAAAAAAAAAAAGTTACAAAAACAGTTAGCCAGGTGGTGGTGGTGGTGGGCATAGTGACAGGCACCTGTGGTCCTAGCTACCTGGGAGGCCAAGGTGGGAGAATCACCTGAGCCCAGGAGGTGGAGGCTGCAGTGAACCATGATTGTGCCATTGCGCTCCAGCCTGGGTGTCGGAGTAAGAGACGGTCTCCAAAAAAACAAAATGAACAAACAAAAAAATTCCCCACTGTCCCCAAATGTCTTTTATAGCTGACATGTGCTCCCTGTATTTTTACGAAGGACTGTAGGTAGCTCTGATGTTCATACCTAGTTAAAACCCCATAGTTCCTTTACAACGTGAATTGTGATTCTTTTTGAAAATCATTTTCTTCCTGACCTCAAAAAAATCAAACATAAAGAAACGTACCAGCAGCCCGGATTTTATAAATGATGAAGCCCATCAGCCCCATTCCTATCCAAATCTCCTGGTAAACTTTGGTGTAGTAGGGCTTCATGGGGATCCACACATTTTTAATAATACTTTGAAGCATCTGAAAATGAACACAGTGATTAAAAATTAGAATGATTATTGCTCTACACCTAACTGGTAAAAGATTTTAATTTGTTAAGTTCAACCCTATTTCCCATGACCACTAGGGAGCCTTGCCTGTGTCACACCTGTTCTGCACTCATGTGGGACTCACGCCTATTTTTTTTTTTTTTTTTTAAGGTGGAGTCTTACTCTGTCGCCCAGGCTGGAATGCAGTGGTGCAATCTTGGTTCACTGCAACCTCTGCCTCCCAGGTTCAAGTGTTTCTCCTGCCTCAGCCTCCCGAGTAGCTGGGACTACAGATGCGTGTCACCCCGCCTGGCTAATTTTTGTATTTTAGGTAGACAGGGTTTCGCCATGTTGGCCAGGCCGGTCTCGAACTCCTGAGCGCAGGGGACCTGCCAGCCTTGGCCCCCCAAAATGCTGGGATTATAGGTGTGAGCCACTGTGCCCGGCCTTTTTTTTTTTTTTTTTTTTAAAGTAGTGGTGGGATTTCACCATGTTGGCCAGGCTGGTCTCAAACTCCTGACCTCAAGTGATCCGCCCACCTTGGCCTCTCAAAGTGCTAGGATTACAGGTGTGAGCCACAGAGCCTGGCCTGGGACTCATGCTTTCCACAGCTCTTCCAACTCAACCCATCGCCAGGCCCCCTCCTCCCACCTTTGGCCATCCTAGCCACTTCTCATTCCTTACATCACAGAGCTCATCCAGCACCTCTCCCACCCTGATGCCATGCCCTGAACTGAAAATTACTTTAATGTCTAAATGGAAAAATTAGTATCTTCTCATCTTCATGTTATGAATGTCACATTCAAAGCTGAAAAAGAATATGGCCAGGGCATGGTCATTTCCTTGTGAAACTAATGCCAGGCTCGGCACACTCTGATCAGCTGTATCTCCATCTTGAAGTCTATTGCTAAATACAAACCAGATGACGTAAGACAACGAGGTCACTTCATAAGAACTGCCAATTATGATAGAACTTATTTAATGAATAAAGGTAGTTACTTAATGAATTACTGAATTTGATCAGGAAAAGCCATTAAATTCCGAACTTACAGTTTGCTTGTACGTGCAGGTCTCAAAATAATGCTTTTTATTACTTTTACAATTTACTCTCGCCAGGCGCGGTGGCTCATGCCTGTAATCCCAGCACTTTGGGAGGCCGAGATGGGCGGATCACAAGGTCAGGAGATGGAGACCATCCTGGCTAACACGGTGAAACCCCGTCTCTACTAAAAATACAAAAAATTAGCTGGGCGTGGTATCGGGCACCTGTAGTCCCAGCTACTGGGGAGGCTGAGGCAGGAGAATGGTGTGAACCCGGGAGGTGGAGCTTGCAGTGAGGCAAGATCGCGCCACTGCACTTCAGCCTGGGCGACAGAGCGAGACTCCATCTCAAAAAAAAACAAAAACAATTTACTCTCTACTATAGACCCCAAATTAGATGCCCTCGTTTTCATTTTAATATGCTTTTTAACATCTGAAGTGGTCTATTAAACTACAGTCAAATAGCTGTGAGGAATGACTAGATCTAAGCACTTCTCATTTCACTTGGAAACTGCTTTGGCCGGCTGTGGTGGCTCATGCCTGTAATCCCAGTGCTTTGGAAGGCCGACGTGGGAGGGTCACTTGAGTCCAGCAGCTTGAGACTAATTTGGGTAACATAGGGAGACCCAGTCTCCACAAAACATAAAAAATTAACCAGGTGTGGTGGTGTTTACCTGGCTAATTTTTTATGTTGGTCGCAGCTATTAGGAGACTGAGGTGGGAAGACTGCTGAGCTTGTGTGGTTGAAGATGCAGGCAGCCGTGATCACACCACTGCACTGCAGCCTGGGCGACAAAGTGAGACTCTGTCTCAAAAAAAAAAAAAGAACGAACGAACGAACGAACGAACTGTGCGTTGGCTGTGACCTGTAATGCTGCCTCCGCCCCACCCTCCCTGTGCCCACACCTGAGCCCCACTCACTGCTCCTTTCACATCACTACTCAGGCTCCACAGGATCTGACTGCTTGGCCGTGTTCGCCCTTTCCCACACTTTGCAGCTCTGCCTGTCGGCTTGACAGCACTGAATCCTTCACAAGTCCAACCTAGTCAAAGGTCAATGGTGGCCCTCAAATCACGGAAACAATTGGCAAATGTGCACTGAGCATGTACTAGGTGCCAGACATTGTTTTAGGAGCTGAGAAACAATAAAGGGTCAGGATATCTGGGAGAGGAATCCTCGGCATCGGCAGAGACTCTGAGGTCAGAATGAACTTGGAGAGCTGGAAGGAATAGGGAGGCCACAGTGCCAGATTCAAATCCTGGCTGTCACTTACTAGCTAACTTAAACTGCTTAAGTTTTCTCATCTGTAAAACAGGGATAAAAACAGGATCCACCTCAAGTGGTTGTTATGGAGAATAACATAGAGTAACTCTATGTCAAACGTTGAGTGTCTGGTACTATGTATTAAATGCTTGTTACATAAAGTACCATGGCTGGACTATGGGAAGGAAGATGGGACAGGTCATTTAAGGGCCTTGGAGGCTAGCATAGAGTTTAGCTTTTATTCTAAAACTGTTCTCTAAACTTAACAATAATTTTTTTTTTTTTTTTTTTTTTTTGCTTTAGGGTTTTTTTGTTTCCTGTGTTGACAATATCATGAAGAAAATTCAGTTTAGAATCTGGAACTGGCCTGGATGGGATTTGAGGGCAGCTGGTGGGGGCTGCAGAGCCCCTTTGATTCCTCTCCCACTGTGGGAGCTAAGCTACTGGACACAGGAGCACCACAGGGCACCGAACCAGGAACTAAGTTAGTGTCTTGAGTCAGGCAAGAACAGGGAGGCCAGGCCAGAGCCACCGTAGGGACTGCCCTGACGTGGTTAGTTCTGTTTCCATCCCTTTAACAGCATTTTAAAAGTGCTTTTCGTACTTACTTCCTACACTGCTTTCCACTCCTATGAAATGGGTACTTGGGGAAAGCTGCCCAAGGTTCTGCGGGAGGTTAGGACTGCACTCACACCAAATCTGTACGTCATGCTCCCGATGACGAGAACCTGCCTCCAACACCTGCTTTCCTGCTCTTCTCTATGAGAGGACTTATTTAGGCAAGGATGGTCGTGAAGGCTGGCCTGCGGTGTGACCTTGCAGGATGTGACTGTGTCCTTCTCCTGGAACACCTTGCAGATAGTCCGCCCTCAAATTTCCTGTCCTCAAACTGTACTTGAATGCTCTGACAGAGTGTGAGGTTCCAAGAAACTAACAGCCCTGCTTTGGGAATATGTCACAGATGATCCAAACAAGACCCAGAGGTTTCCGGAAGCCCCAGACTAGAAGAGTTCAGAGGCAAGGAATGAATCCCTTGTCTCCCTGCAACAACTGGGAAGGAAGCATTGTACAGGACCAATGGGTCTGGAAGCCTGGGAATCCTGGGCTCCAACACCAGCTCTCCCTGGTCAGCTCTCAACTTTGGGCAAGTCCCTTTAGCTGTTGTTTCAGAGGTTTCTTTTTCTGTGAAACATGGATGCCTCCACCTGCCCCCACAGGGCTGTCAATGTAATTCAGAGAGGAAACCTAAAGGACCCAGCCTAGTGCCTGGTATGGAATAAAAATCCAGAGAATGGGCTGGGCACGGTGGCTCACGCCTGTAATCCCAGCACTTTGGGAGGCCAAAACGGGCAGATCACTTAAGGTCAGGAGTTCGAGACCAGCCTGGCCAACGTGGAGAAACCCTGTCTCTACTAAAAATACAAAAATTAGTGGTGGTGGGCACCTATAATCTCAGCTACTCGGGAGGCTGAGGCAGGAGAATCGCTTGAACCCAGGAGGTGGAGCTTGCAGTGAGCAGAGATTGCACCACTGCACTCCAGCCTGGGCAACAAGAGTGAGACTCCCCCCTGCCCCCACCCCCAACAACAACAACAACAACAACAAAGAATTCAGTGAATGATCACACCAGTAACAGAATTGATACAAATATCCAGTTGATGGCTATAATTAATACTAAGCCACTGGGATTCTAACAGAAGGAAGACTTAAAAATGATGCTCTCATTTAGGCCAGTTAGGGGCTTCGGACAGAGCAAGGTCAGATGAGGGTCTAGAAGGAAAAGGGCAAAGTAAACTGGGAGGGTACAATGGCTACGGTAAGAAGGGACTAAAGAAACAGAGTCATCCTGACACTTTGCTCGGGGCCCAGGCCTCCTGGTATGATCTTACAAAATTACCCTTGGTCCCCAGTGCAACAGGGGCCTGCTATACAGTAGCGTGCAAATACCTTTCCCCCTCCTTTCCCCTTGACTTTAGTTGCCATATTTGCCTGGACAAGTAACAGGTTCCCAATACATACTAAAAAGAGGGCCCCTACTTTTTTTTTTGAGATAGAGTTTCACTCGGTCGTCAGGCTGGAGTGCAATGGCGCCATCTCGGCTCACTGCAACCTCCGCCTCCCAGATGCAAGCGATTCTCCTGCCTCAGCCTCCCGAGTAGCTGGAACTACAGGCGCCCGCCGCCACACCCAGCTAATTTTTGTATTTTTAGTAGAGATGGGATTTCACCATGTTGGCCAGAATGGTCTCCATCTCTTGACCTCGTGATCCGCCCGCCTCTGCCTCCCAAAGGGCTGGGATTACAGGCGTGAACCGCCGTGCACAGCCGGCCCCTACTTTCTTCTTCTTTTTCTTTTTGAGACAGAGTCTCGCTCTGTCACCCAGGCTGGAGTGCAGTGGCGCGATCTTGGCTCACTGCAACCTCCGCCTCCCGGGTTCAAGCGATTCTCCTGCCTCAGCCTCCTGAGTAGCTGGGAAGCTGGGACTACGGGTGCGTGCCACCACACCCGGCTAATTTTTTCTTTTATTTTTTAGTAGAGACAGGGTTTCACCGTGTTAGCCAGGATGGTCTCGATCTCTCGACCTTGTGATCGGCCCGCCTGGGCCTCCCAAAGTGCTGGGAATACAGGTGTGAATCACCAAGCCCGGCTACACGTTCCTAATATATAATAAAACGAGGGCCCCTACTTTTTTTTTGAGACGGAGTTTCACTCGGTCGTCAGGCTGGAGTGCAATGGCGCGATCTCGGCTCACTGGAACCTCTGCCTCCTGGGTGCAAGCGATTCTCCTGCCTCAGCCTCCCGAGTAGCTGGGACTACAGACGCCAGCAACCACACCCAGCTAATTTTTGTATTTTTAGTAGAGACGAGGTTTCACCATCTTGGCCAGGATGGTCTCTATCTCTTCACCTCGTGATCCGCCCGCCTCGGCCTCCCAAAGGGCTGGGATTACAGGGGTGAACCACCAAGCCTGGCCGGCCCCTACTTTCTTGAGTCCATTCTGCCCAGGCAGAATGTGTGTCAGTTTTACAGCACCAGACCTTCTAAAAATCCATCTTATTCATAGGTCAAACGTGTATCCACTTAAGTCTGCAAAGTTTTGGCACATTACATTAAGGGCAAACTATTACCGGACACTGGAAATGGGAAATGTCTGACCCGCGAGTTCCATGCAATTTCAATCACCACCATACGATCTCTTGTTTCCCTGCTGCCTCACCCAAGTTGTCATGTACAGCATAACGTGGAGGACAAGCGTGGTGCACGGAAACTTGAGTTACAAAGGAGAGAAGGGACTGGATGTGGAGTCAGAGTTCTTGGCTTGGACTCTGGCTTCTCTAACTCTGCGTAGCCTCCGCGTTAGGCAGCGGAACCTGTCAAGGCCAGGGGACGCTCCCTGTCAAAAGCGTGGGAGATACAGGCGCACTGAGCGCGTTAACGCCAAGAAGGGAAACGCGGCGCAGGCCTAGGCGATGCTTCCCTCTGGCAACCGACCCTGGCCTGTCTCCCTTTAGAGAAGGGGAGGCCGGGCGGAAAACCAGGCGTGTACCGGCGGAGGAATGGGACCCCAAGGTCAGCTGGGGCCAAGGCGGCTTCTCGCCCTCCCGCCCCCGCCACCTCGCACCTCGGGGGCCAGGTCTATGTCCCCGCACTCACCTTTGCGCAGGACAGACGCCTCACAGACCACCACAAACCTGCAGTCAAGTCAGAAAGGTCACCGAGCGCGCACGCGCGCGCAGGGGCTGCCGGGAAGGCGGAAGCAGCTACGCCGCAACGCCAGAGTGCCTCCCCAGCGGCGCCTGCGCACCATAGCGCCCCCGGCGGCCGCCTGGTGCCGCAGGCAAGAAGCGGCGGGGACAGGATGCGGTAGGGGTGTGCCCGCGTGTGTCACCGTGGGGTGGCTAACCCTCCACATCTTCCCACGACTGATGAGTTTCCTGGGACGCAGGACCTTCAACGCTGAAACTAGGAAAGTTCTACACAAACCGGGAGGGTTGGTTAACCTGAAGGACCCTCTTTACTGTTATGTTAAAGACTAAGTCTCCCATTTCAGTGTTGTGTCTTGCCCCTTTGCATTGTTAATTATTTGGCTCTGCATGTATATATATTTTGAGACGGAGCCTCACTCTGTCGCCCAGGCTGCAGTGCAGTGGCACGATCTCGGTTCACTGCAACCTCTGCCTCCCGGGTTCAAGCGATTCTCGTGCCTCAGCTTCCTGAATAGCTGGGATTACAGGAGCCAGTCACCACGCCCAGCTAGCTTTTGTATTTTAGCAGAGAGGGGGTTTCACCGTGTTGGCCAGACTGGTCTTGAACTCCTGACCTCAGGTGATCCACCTGCCTTAGCCTCCCAAAGTGATGGGATTACAGGCTTGAGCCACCATGCCCGGCCTGCTCAGCACATTTTTATGTCTGTATTCTGTGCATATTCTTCTCAGCAGATTAATATAAAACTTCCACAGGGGCTTCAGACACTGGACTTAATAGTCTTTTTTTTTTTTTTTTTTTTTTGAGACGGAGTCTCGCTCTGTCGCCCAGCCTGGAGTGCAGTGGCGCGATCTCAGCTCACTGCAAGCTCCGCCTCCCGGGTTCACGCCATTCTCCTGCCTCAGCCTCCCAAGTAGCTGGGACTACAGGCGCCCGCCACCACACCCAGCTAGTTTTTCGTATTTTTTAGTAGAGACGGGGTTTCACCGTGTTAGCCAGGATGGTCTCGATCTCCTGACCTCGTGATCCGCCCGTCTTGGCCTCCCAAAGTGCTGGGATTACAGGCTTGAGCCACCGCGCCCGGCCTTAACAGTCTTTAAAAAACTATATATACATATATACATATATATATATATGCCGGGCGTGGTGGCGCACTCTCTCTCTTTTTTTTTCTCTCTCTATATATACTTTTTTTTTTTTCCAGAAGTATTTTGCAGTAGAGAACTAGAAATCATAAAAAAAACAATTTAGCGAGCGGATCACCTGAGGTCAGGAGTTCAAGACCAGCCTGGCCGACATGGCGAAACCCCATCCTTACTAAAAATACAAAAATTAGCTGGGCATGGTGGCAGGCGCCTGTAATCCCAACTGCTCAGGAAGTTGGGGCAGAAGAATCACTTGAACCAGGGGGCAGAGGTTGCAGTGAGCCGAGATCTCGCCATTGCACTCCAGCCTGGGCAGCAAGAGTGAAACACCATCTCAAAGAAAAAGCCAAATAAAAATTGGATGGAGGCTGGGCGCAGTGGCTCAGCACTTTGTGAGGCCTGTAATCTCTAATCTCAGCACTTTAGGAGGCCAAAGCAGGCAAACTGCTTGAGTTCAGGAGTTTGAGGAGTTTGAGACCAGTCTGGCTAACATGATGAAACCCCTTCTCTACTAAAAATACAAAAATTAGCCGGGTGTGGTGGTGGTGCGTGCCTGTAATCCCAGCTACTTGGGAGGCTGAGGCAGGAGAATTGCTTGAACCCTGGAGGCAGAGGTTGCAGTGAGCCGAGATGGTGCCACTGTATTCCAGCTTGGGCGACAGAGTGAGACTCTGTCTCAAACAAGCAAAACAAAAAAGAAATTGGATGGGTTTGGCAGATTAGACAGTTGAAGAATAAACTGCAAGATAGAAGAAGCCATTCAGAAACTAACAGGATACAGCAGGAAAGGCCATCATGTGGGTAACTGGTATCTTAGAAGGAAATGAAAGAGGTGAGGCAGAAATATTTCAAGAGCTAATGGCTGAGAATTTTCCAAAAGTGATGATAAAAAAATCATGCCAAAGATTCAAAAAGTCTTACAGAAACCAAGCAGGCAGATAAATAGAAACAAAACAATACCTTGAAATCTCACACTAAAGCCATAGAAAAGATAAAGATAAAATCTCAAAGAAAATAACCGCCAATCAAGAATTCTATACACAGGGAAATTGGCATTCGGAAAAGGTGAAATAAAGATAGTTTAGGACAAACTGAAGAAATCGTGCCAGGCATGGTGGCTCATGCTTGTAATCCCAGCACTTTGGGAGGATTGCTTGAGCCCAGGATTTTGAGACCAGCCTGGGCAATGTATTAAGATCCCATCTTTAATGGAAAAAAAAAAAAAAAAGAGGAAATTATTAGGTTTTGAAGGGAAGGCAAGGGTTAAAGACAGACGAGACACACACACTCTCACACACACACACACACACACAGACACGCAGAGGATGAAGGGGGAGAGGGGAGAGAGGAGAGAGATGGTGGCTTCAACAGCAATGCAGGTTTACTGCCAGCAAAAACCTGTGGAGGGGGTAACCAGCTTAGTGCCCGAGCTCACTGCTGCTTCCAGGCTGGGGTAATTATAGGTCTGGGCTGGATCGGTCTGGGCAGTATGGCTTGCTGCCTGGCAGGATGTGATAAGGATGCTCCTGCAGTCAGGCGGTTGGGCAGGATGTTTCTTATGGCCGGAGCCCCCATGGAATGTTTCACTCTGACCAAGGTCTGTGAAATGGTGGAGGGTTTATAAAATGGTGCAGCTAGGACTGAAATAATCACGAGCAGATCCACAGTAAAATAAATGTTCATTATTCAGGCACAAGGCAAACGAGCTCAGATGTGTCAAGATAAAATAATAAAAAGGCTTAGGATCCAGTTAAAATCGTCCTTTTTGAGATGGAGTCTTGCTGTGTCGCCCAGGCTGGAGTGCAGTGGTGTGATCTCAGCCTCTGGAGTAGCTGGGATTATAGGCACCCACCACCACGCCTGGCTGATTGTATTTTCAGTGGAGACGGGGTTTCACCATGTTGACCAGGCTGTTCTCCAACTCCTGACCTCCTGATCCACCGACCTCGGCCTCCCAAAGTGCTGGGATTACAGGCGTGAGCCACAGTACCCGGCCCGGATCCAGTTAAAATAGTTTATTCAAGCACAAAGTATGAGGCATCTAGGTACACCCGAACACCAAAGAATGGTAATTGGCCAAGCACTTTGGGAGGCCGAGGAGGGCGGATCACCTGAGGTCAGGAGTTTGAGCCAGCCTGGCCAACATGGTGAAACCCTATCTCTACTAAAAATACAAAAAGTAGCTGGGCGTGATGGCGGGCGCATGTAATCCCAGCTACTCAGGAGGCTGAGGCAGGAGAAGCACTTGAACCCGGGAGGCAGAGGTTGCAGTGAGCTGAGATTGTGTCATTGCACTCCAGCCTGGGCGACAAGAGCAAGACTCTACCTCAAAAAAAGAAAAACAAAAAATAAAACAAGTGATCAGTGCTCAAGTGAGGATTGTTCATACAGGCAAAATTAGGGGCTGAAAACTGAGTTACATTTTCCATACGAAGGCTAACATAGAGATAGAAGACTTGATTGACTGCTTAGCATCCTGCTGTAAAGAGGTAACAGTTAACAAGGCTCTCATCGCCAATGTCACTTAGCCTAGTTTTGAATGAAGACTGGGGAGTCTGGTTAATGTGTAACATCTCAACACAAGTCAGCAAGTGTCAGGCACTAGAGAAGAAAAACAGCCATGTTACCTGCCTCAGTTTCCAGGGCTTAACTTTTCCACTTAGCTTAATAAATCTGGAGGTCCTAAAATTTTCAAGGATGAGATTGCAGGAAGGAATGAACAATGAACATGGTCCTGCTGGAAGGGAAAAGAGCTTACGGTCAAATTAAACTGCACAGAAAGCTTGAAAACTTTCTGTCTTAGGGTAGCAGTTCTCTAAGTGTGGGTCAAAACTATTTTCTTCATAATAGTAAATAGTCTTCGCCTTTTTTTTTTTTGAGACAGGGCTTCACTGTTACCCAGGCTGGAGTACGATGGCGCGATCTCCACTCACTGCAACCTCCGTCTCCTGGGCTTAAGTGATTCTTTCACCCCAGCCTTCCAAGTGGCTGGGACTACAGGCATGTGCCACCATGCCTGGCTAATTTTTGTATTTTTGCTAGAGATAGGGTTTTGCCATGTTGCCCAGGCTGGTCTTTAATTCCTGAGTTCAAGTTATCTGCCTGTCTTGGCCTCCCAAAGTGTGGGATTACAGGCGTGAGCCACCGGAGCTGGCCTTCTTTGTCTTTTTCTTTTTCTTTTTTTTTTTTGAGACAGAGTCTCGCTCTGTCGCCCAGACTGGAGTGCAGTGGCCAGATCTCAGCTCACTGCAAGTCCGCCTCCCGGGTTCCCGCCATTCTCCTGCCTCAGCCTCCCAAGTACCTGGGACTACAGGCGCCGCCACCACGCCCGGCTAGTTTTTTGTATATTTTAGTAGAGACGGGGTTTCACCGTGTTAGCCAGGATGGTCTCGATCTCCTGACCTCGTGATCCGCCCGTCTCGGCCGTTAGCTCAGGAGGCTGAAAGGCAGGAGGAAGCACTTGAACCCGGGAGCCAGAGTTGCAGTGAGCTGGGAGATTTGTTCCATTGCCACTTCCCAGCCTGGGCGACAAGAGACCAGACGCTTCTACTCACAAAAAAGAAAAACAAAAAATAAAACAAGTGATCAGCTGGCTCAAGTGAGCCGATTGTTTCCATACAGGCCAAAATTAGGGGGCTGAAAAACTGAGTTACATTTTCCATACGAAGCCTAACATAGAGATAGAAACTTGATTGCAACTGCTTAGCGATCCTGCGCTGCTAAAGGAGGTAACAGTTAACAAGGGCTCTCATCGCCAACTGGGTCAACTTGAGCCTAGTTCTTGAATGAAGGACTGGGGAGTCTGCGTTATAATGTGTAACATCTCAACACAAGTCAGCAGCGTGGGTCAGCGCACTAAGAGAAGAAAAACCAGCCATGGTACCTGCCTCATTTTCCAGGGCTTAA